CAGAAGTTTCAGATCCACGATTCAGGTTTGAAATCTCTGGCCTAGTAGCAGATGAAATCGAGAGTCAGCACGCAGTAGTCACCCTGCTCCAGTTGAGCTTTAATTATCACCTGATCAACGGAGTGTCTTTTGTGAAGGCTGAGTCACCAAACTGAACAACCCTACAAACATGCCAGCGGCAGTGAGGAGACGGGACGCGTGATTGTGTGCCAGCCAGAGGAAGGTCACTCTATCCACATACGCTTCTCCTGACGGCAGCAGATATCGTTTGTTCAGCGTTCAGAATGTAGCAAATGTAGATGGAACGCATCCGACAAACAGGTCTGAACAAGTTTTTAAGCACCTAAAATCCGGCCTGCGGATACAATGTGCATATCTTTTGGTATCGGGCGATATGGGCACCGTGCGTCTGTTTGCGTGGCCCTTCGTGGAAAGTAAACGGTGCGCCCCCATGCGCCAAATGTTCGGCTTATTGAGGCAAATGATTGAGGAGCAGTATCAAGTGGAACATTTGTCATGAACAATTAGGCCGCACAAATGTTCGCTGCAGGAGTCGTATTTGACTGTGACGTCATATTAAGCTACTCTTATATTAGAAATCTATCATGAATCACGTATGCATCATATAACATCCATATGTCTTGGCCAAACACACTCTCCAAACAGCTGGTATATACAGCTTTCCATGGCTCATGCGATCCATCAGCTCCAAACAGTCTGTCTGTTGATGAGACCTAATGTACGTCATGTAAGTCTCGTATTTCTTAAGAGACACAGTAATCAGGAATGTGAAATGGCCTTGTGTAAGAAGGCCATCCGCTGAAAGGCTCCCGTTTTAGAGTGACTGCTCCCAGTTGGTCAGCCACCTACCTCATGGTGATACCTAGATAATTTATCATATATCCCCTCTCATTTCAGGACCAAGGACCAAATAAACACTCTGAACGAAGAAGTTCATGCGCCACTCTGAAGAACATATGTACTCATCAGAACGACCAATACAACTCAACGTGTTATGTCGCTATTCAGGACCTCTTCTACGGTAGCGATGAACGGGCGCGCTCCGGCCCCGCTGATTGAGGATCGCAGACGTCGAGGCACATGTTCGTCGTGTGCGCCAGCTAGGTTCGTTCAGCTATCCGCCATGATCGACGTAGGGTCCCTGTGGCTAGTTGATCAGCGTCATGGTTTTCCTGGCATACTACGCAGGTCACAATGATACACTTCTGTTTAAAAAAACTTGCACCATTTTTCGCCAATAAACGCGGCTTACTGAATTTTACTGGTAACCGCGACTGCCGGACAAAAATTGTTTACAGCAACGGCATCTCGGCGTATTTTATTGCCAAAAGACCTTGTAGCCTATAGGATGTTCAGGGAATTCTCTCAGTTGTTAAAACGACTTAAAGATTCATCCATTGTGAGTTACCTTTTTCCGCAATTAGCGATTTCGAACTGCATTAGGAAGCTTATACACAGTCTGCGGTGTTCATTGACCTTGAAGATTCGCTCACGTAAACATAATAATACACGCACCTACTCATTACACGCGGACATTCTACACTAGGAAGTGGCAACACTGAAAATGTCACAGCTTTTGAGAGGGCAATTCCGGTGTACGAATACTGAGCAGCTCTGAATGCCAGCTACCCGAATCTTTAAAGTGCAGATTACTGCTCATTACCGCTCAGGATTCGCACAATGGGATCGAAATTTCGACGGGTAAGATTTTCCTATTGTTAACACTCCCTATTGAAGAATGCCTATTCATGACGATTTGTTCTGAAACTTATCTACATGGGTGGTTTGTTTTAGTAAGCGGATCTTCAAGGTCATCGACCGCCTTTGTGTCCAATGTGACACTTTATCATGAATTGCGGTTAAGCGCAAGTCGCTCACAATGATTGACTTTGCAGATACTTCTGTAGCTTTCCAAAAACTAACTCGTCCTTGTGGATGCAAAACATGTCCGTGCGCCTTTTCTGGAAATACTTTTGCTACGTGACATTTTCGAGTACCTCGAACCTCGATAATTGTTATTCCAAGTAGTACTAACCATAGAAAGTGAGAACTTCACTGATGACAACCCTGTGTAGGCTTGTTTGTTAGACGCCATCTACAACGGCAGGTTCGCAATGCGTGACCTCCTGTAACTTGGCGCCTACTGACTATAATGCCACAGTAAACACGAGGCCTGCATAAGGTACGAGATCTCAATAACAGACGTTACTGATGGTCATCCAACGAGCCACATGGAATTGTTGTTGCCCCTTCTATCTAACTGGCGCTGTACGGCGTCAGTATAAGTAATAATACAGTGACTCACAAGTGTCGATTAGCTCATCACTGGAGCCAAAATTGCGGATGCGTACAGACTTCTGACACGAATTATGCTGGGATTCTGTGCTTCGGTTCAGGTCAGCAGGGAATGATGCATTTTCGCGGACTTACCAGCAAGCTACTCTTAGCGTCCTCTGAACGGGCTAGGGGTTAGGCAACAAAAACAACTTGAGACGAGCCTGAAGAGCATCATCACACAGCTTGTAAGGCCTGCCATTATGACGGTCGACGCGATATGATACGCAAACCGTTGCACACCGGTGGTCACTAGCAGTGCTCGGCGTTCACAGGGCACACAAAACTTTAATCGGCGTCCCTCGACCGCCACCTTGTTTAAAGTGTATCCCGGACCACCGGCAGCAGGCCGCCAGTTGCAGACGCTGTCAATCGTCTGGAAGCACATGGGTGTTTGTACCAGGAACTGTAGATTAGATGAGGTGGATTGACCTCAACTTTTTCGTTCCATTAATATGACAGTGCAGTCTTGTGGATCGCGACCCTTAGTGGGCATGTATACGTAGTAGTTCGACAGACAATGTTCAGAACATAGCCAAGGCCCTCCATGATTCCCTGTCGGTCGCACTGTTGTGATGTATGCTTCTTATATTCTCGCACGGGACACGGCGCGCCGAGCACGTCATACTCTATGGTGTTTAAGTGGTACGCCCGGTTATTCAGGCTGACGTTTGCATTCCGCAGACGGTTGTTGATCACATTATCAAAGTGGAACATCGGTACTTGTGCGTAGGTTGCGGGTTATGCACGACCCGTGGGCCGCAAGATTAGGAACGAATCGCTGGTCCGTGCGGTGAATTGGTTATAGATCTTGACGTAATATGGATGCTCGTATTATTGTAAACAACTCCCTAACATAAGGCATCGTTCAAGCAAGCCATGGGGTGGGACATGTGCCGGATGGTCGCAAAGTGTGTCCTTGACCAAAAATTCATGGGCGATATATGATACGTATGTGCCTCCAGATGGCTTTTCTAATATGAAGGTAGCACAACGTGACGTCGCTACCAAAACTGGTCTTGCTGCCCGTATTTGTACCGCCAACTTGTCGGAGACAAAAGTCATCACTGGATACCGCTTGCCCATCATTTCCTCGAAAAAGCCAGAGTTTGCGCATGGAAGCAGTCTGTTCGCTTCTAACGAAGGCATACATAACCGGACGCCCGGCACCCATGTCATCCGTGGTCAGTAAGGTGTAGAGCTTGTATCTACAGGAGAGTTATTAGTCGCTTTAAAAACTTACCCAAGGCGGTTTGTCGCATGCATTCCGTTGACATTTTCAACACCTGGGAAGGGCCAAAATAACGGTACCTGTTGCCATACAGAGAAGCATGTGCGGCTATAGTAACCTTCCACTGACGGCAGCCGAAGCAAGCATCCGGCCTCTCGAAGTTTCGTAAAAACCAAAGTCCCATTGCCTGCCAAAAAACCCAACTATGCATCACCCACTCAACTGAGCTGGTTGACAACTCCGGCGATATTTGTATATGTTCTGAGTGGTAGGGACATTGCTGCACTCACCGGCCACAAACTGTCGCATTTCACACGACGGCTTTCCATTCTTTGAGAGGTCCCTGCCGTCGGCTAAAAGGAAGCCGGTCGTATAAAAACTTAGACAACTTATTTTTGTGCTCCATATGATAAGAGTTGACTGCGAGGTGGTTCGTTTGCCTCTTTAGAAAAAACCCCATTGGACACGGTGCTTCGCATAGTGTTTTTGTTAGGAAACACGCTCAGCTTACCAGTATCTTCGGATTCCTCGACAGTCCGTTGTCTTAAGGGTTGCATACACCCGTGCGTAACAAAAATATCAATGGTGATTCGACTACTGGATGAACGCACAAATACCACATAGTTCTCCTTCATGCACTGATTTGTAGCGGAATAGGACCTCATCAGCGCGTCCAGATAAACTAACAAGCAAAGTAACCAATACAAAATCACAAAATCACAATAGGAAAAGAATGAGTAGTCAGATGGGGAGTCACGAATGTGTAGATCCACTAGTCCACTACACCGACCCAAATGCGGTAACTGGAGATGGTTCAGCGTGAGTGATATATTCCACGGTAGGAAAATTATCCTCGGCTAAAAAATGTCACAGGGGGTTATTGTGACGTTCAACAGTTGACACAAACACAGAGATTTAGTCTCACTGTTTCAGCAGTCAAAAAACGGTTCAACGGAGCGTAAATACACTCGTTCAGCAAGAAGTCAGCAGGTCGCACCGGAAAATTGTGTATTCGTAACACTAAAACAAACGTCATGATACAATGTGAACGACAGTTACAAAGTGTGGTTTAATTTCGGGAAGAATGGTAAATGTGACAACGGATTACAGACACTACATATTTAAGACATCAGATGGCGTGAAGGATGAAAAGGATACAGCCCCAAGTTTCCCGACAAACGCATGTGAAGCTACTTCAAAAGCCATAGCACAGCAAGTTCAGAGTCGAATGTGTACCAAACCTTCGAAGAGAGATGGTTGAAACATAGTGCAAAAATAACGGCAAATTAAAGTGATTTATAGTCTGAGCACACTTGCAACAAAATGCAACTTTTTGGCCCGACAAGTTTCACTTTACTCGCAGAGGTTTTGCAGAAAAAAGCAGTGTGTATCCACGGCGCGGCGCATTATAGGATTCGACGTCACGATTGGCCGTCGTGTCAACAGTTTCGACCAATTGGAACTTGGCCTTAGGCTGAGCAGTCAAGCTACCCATCTTCCGACCATTGATGTGTGAGTTAGGCCCATTTTCTTTTACGGCGTCTAGTTGCGAGCGATGAGGCGACGTAGTGTCGTAGTATGGGATGGAAGCACCAGAGGACAGTGATTCTTTGAGGGTAGGGGTTCACAACAACTTTTGTGGATGGAAAATAGCGGGAAGGTTCATGAACCGAAGCCCACTAAACAAGGCGGTGTATCACCAGTATGTATGTATGAGTATTGGTGATGTATCATCAACCGAAGACACATATAAATCAACCGTCCCCGGTGTACCATGACCTGCGTGAACCGTCCGGTGCTTTTGGTGTTGCACGTGAAGCTGGTGAGCATGTACAGAGGTTGCTGTTTCCAGGACTGCGCTGGTCATGTACTATTGGGTAAATTGATAGCGATTATTGATACGTTCGAACCCGACCTCTGCCTCTCCCCTTCCTAGGCTCGGGCAAGCTGGCAGTATTCCAGTCCCCGTGTTCTACAGCCGAACGTTTTTTTGCATGAAAGTCGTTCAGCTGTAGCACCGTTTCGGTGCCTAACTGCCATGCCACCCGAAGGAAACACGAGAGCCAGGTTGTCCAAGCCTGGACAGAGAAGTCAAGAGGCAGACGTCGGGTTCGAACCTCAGACCTTCCGATCAGTAAATTCGCGCTCTAACCACTGAGCCAACTCGCCCCCTTTTCTTACAAAACTGTCCATAGGACGCCCTCTCGTTAGATAATGGCGTCACAACTGGGTGCTTCATGACATGATTGTGTGGCGGTTATTTCACCCATCGTTATCCACATTTTACGGTCAACTAACTAACCCAGTTAATCACTGATCGTTTAACGACTGAATAGCCGCCAAATAACTAACAATATATCCTCGTTACTTCATGGCTAACCGTAAAAGTCGTCGGATGTATTACCGCGACTAAATAATGGCCTAGCTACACTTTGCTGTACAGGAACGTTCTTGTCACATGTGGAGACGGTGAGACGATGGTGCAACAAATTGATTAGGTGCTACCTCATCCAACGTTAGCACTTGACTGCACAATTTTCCGAACTACGCGATCGATGCTACCTGTTGGTGGTGCAGTTATTCACAATAGACCACCCAGTTATGCGTACACGGTGCACGATTATCGATATGTCAGCCTTTCCTTGATAACTGTTTAGCTGGCTGATCCTGGTGTATTTTCTGATGGACTACGATAGAATGGAAAGCACTAAGATGAGTATACGTAATACATTCGTATAATTACGAAATTTACCTCGTAATTCGACGGACGGAGGCCTCCAGAAATTGAACCAAACTAAAGGAGATGGACGCTTGCGGGCACGCTTCTGTGTAAGGAAGCCTTTTTAGAGATTATCATACATTATCGAACGTCCACAGGTTATGCTGTTCGTCAGGTTTTGGGTTATACTCCGTTGCACAAGAGCACTGAAGTGAACGGACCACCTGACTCTTGAATTCAAAGATCGCAGGGCGCCTGTACGCTTTCATTCCTCTTCCGACCCAATCTGGGTGGGAATCCTGCTTGCTGTCCTCTGATCACGTCTTCACCCATTGTCGTAAGACAGTACAAAATAAGCGGCTCAGAGCCCACTTATGATGAGGATCAAGCTGTTTGTCTCATTCTGGGAGAGCACATTTGAAAATGGCACTACTGTCGACTCATTCCTGTTGTCTGGAAAAGCATCCCCCATGATAGATAAATAAGTTAGTCAACTACTGAGGGGATTTTAGCCACATCCTATGGCAGGATCTGCAGCTTCCTGGCACTGTTCAATGAAAGGCACTCGAATGTTTCCAAAATCGTCGGAGGTTCGGCGTCCACTGCTCATAGATCCGTTTTGGTCTGGGAAATAATGGAGCAATGGTAGTTGGCCATTTGAATCGTTAAGTGTTCAGCCCAGTGGTTCTGGCCTTCTTTTCTGGGAGATAAATGAGCCATTTTTATCACTGACTGCCCACCATGGACCTTTTTGAGCCTGTTGCGCCTTTCATTCGGAGTGGTTTCTGCACATTTCCAGAGTATTCGCTTCCTCCATCGCCAGCGTTATGGACTCACCAAGCTCCTCGGTGAGCACGGATATCGTTTTTCCTCCGAAGTGTGCATTGTACTGTTGACCAAGAGGCACACTTTTCTAAGCTTCGATTAGTTTCATAGTGTTGTTCGAGATCCATCGATTAGGTCGAGTTAATTGCTTAGTGATCAGAGCGCCAATATGCTGACCGGAATGTCCGTTGTTCGTACCCAACCTCTGGTTCTCGACTTCCCTGTCTAGGCTTGGGCAAGCCGGCAGTATCCTAACCTTCGTGCTTCCTTCGAGTGGCAAGGCAGTCAGGCACCTAATTGGTGGTAAGTCTTAACAATTTGACGATTGCTCCGTTCCGCAAGCAGGTCGCCAAGCATCTTGCGGGGTTGCTGATGGTAGTTGACGTCCGAAGATGGTTTACAGGGAATGAGCTTTATTAGGTGGTTCTGGTAAACTTAATCCACATTAGGCTACGAGTGCTTCCTAATGGCTAGTCGAGGTGCACTCATCTTGCGCGCCCCTCGAAAGCTCATGGAGAGGCAGCAAAGGATAAGCGCGCTATCCGAATTCACATTAATGTTCCTGAACGATAGGCAGTCAGTATTTGATCTGCGCCACGGCCTATGGTGATCTGGTCTCTGCTTTGGAGGACCGTCAGGTGGTTTCGGTTGCTCCATAAGTTATGACTGTAGAGACAGGCTGTGGTTAGCACATAGCTGTAGCAGGTGTTTACCGAGATGACTAATCAATTGGGTTTCAGCAGTGCCCATTCACCCAATTTAATCAATAATATCGCCAGCAACCACCACAATATGTGAGCTTCCGCTGCAGTAAACAGCCTTACGGGACAATATCGCAGACATGGGCAGGTGAACTGCAGAGTCGAATACTAAAAAACAACCATTTAATCCGAGAACCTCCAGCTAGAGATTCGGAACCATGCCAGCCTCCACAGAAGCAGCTTTGTCTGTTGGCTTCTAGATCATGAGTTACGAAACCAGAATCGATAATGAAACGATGGGTAGGTCAATTCAACAACCGTACTTGGGTCTTGAATCCACATCACAGGGACACTGTCCGTCTATGGAAAGCGCTCCCAGTGTAAAAGAGAAAGCATCAATGTTTATTACGCTTGCGAGTATAAGTTTCACTCAACCCTTGGCCCTGTGTTTTTAATCTTATTTTAATTTTCGCCACTCAGATAACAAAAATGCCGCTGAAAGACAGCACATGCTTCACTTTGTACCAACAATTTGTTGTCTTCTTGTCTCCAGCACTTGCTGTATTCTTTTCCAGATCATCAATGGTTAGCCTTGATAATCTGCCTCCAGAGGTTTTCCATCGCATCTGCTTCTTTCTGCATGCCAGTGACGTAATAGCGCTAAGACTAGTATCGAAAAAGTTTCGTTCCTGGACCGGAATCAAGTTTTGGCAGAAGCGCCTGTTAGCTTTATCTGCGGGCGCCTATCCATGCCTGCAAGGTTTGTGTATACATTTGCCATCCGGACCCCCTCTTATTTCCAACCCAGATAAGAAGGTGGACTGGATTCATGAAACGGTTGCGCGAGAAATGTATCTCTCTGTTTTTGGCCAGAATGGCACAAGACAGCACTTTGTACGACCCTGTGCAACTTCAGTAGCGATCGATGTATTGCACATTCCACCGGTAAATTGACGGGTTTCCGGATTCAGCTCAATTCAGGTAGCCTCTGACCTTCTGCTTGTTGGAGATCGGGGACGAGTGATCTCGATATTTTCACTGAAAGAAATGGCGCTGAATAAGGACCCATGGAATGCTGTATATGTTGAATCTCGACTCCACCTGGTACGTTCTCGGCCCGTTTAACTTGCGATATTTGACTCTTAGTGATTGTTTACTTTGCTTTGTTGTTCTTGGGTCTTTCCGAGGGGTAAGCCGATTCCATTATGCATACATCATACGTAGTAGGATCCTCAGTTAGAGACCCACAGCGGAACCCAGTTTCCTCCAAGGGCGAGCTATTTCTTCCAGGGTTTCTGTTCAAATGACTCAGTATGTTCAGTGGTAGTCGACTAGTTTCTCTCAGCTCAACCAGCCACAAGGAAGATGTAAATTTATCGATTTCTCAAGTACTAAAAGCCGACTGCTTCTTAAAAATTCTGCGTTGCTGGCATTCATGTCACTCAGTAATTGTATTGTTTTCAGTATGCGTTTCGCGTAACTGTATTTATCCTTAAACATGCTGACTCACTAGTTGGTGAACCTACCGCCTCCGTTTCTTCCAGCTGTAAGCTAGAATAACTACCATCATCATATTCCTTTTATTATTTCGAACTCTTTATATCAATTAGTTTTACAAAAACTGTAACTGTCGAAATTCCTTTTTACTGTGGTTACCGTCTGTTTGCTCCAGCATGGGTAAACGTAGGGCCCATTGTCTAATTCAGGTGACCCTCCAGTGGCAGTGGGTTCCATAAGGGTGGGCTCAGGCCGGTAAATGCGTGAGCTAGTTACCGGAGGATTTCTCAGCGAATTTCGAACGCGCTTAAGCTCTCTTTCTCCGTTATATTCTCGTCTTTCGCGCTTCCAGTTATGTTCTCTGTCACCTGCTAGCTCAACCCATCTGATGCATGGTTCACAGTTGGTTCGCCGGTTAAAGGACACGAGTGTTGTTACAGCACCACCGAACACCCTGGCCATCGTGTTGAATTACTACACTGGCCACTGTGTAGATGCTCACTGCCCCCACATGCGTTCATATCCTCTGATCCAGATGTCTTTTGATGAGACAAGTCGTGTTCTGTCGAACAGGTTGAAAACCCACTCAAAAACCAACCGCATTTGTTTATACACCAACAACTAATATGTTGGACAGTGTGCATTCATATAACGCTGTTGCTAGATGTTCTGGCAGCTGAGTGTGTACAGTACTGAATAGGTACAGTGAGTTTTTCTCTTGTTCCACCAGTCTAACACCTTTGCGTCCAGATCTCAGTGGTTTTCAAGAACAGTAGCTAATTTAATTCGCTATGACCGCCAGTGTGGAATACAATACAGCTCAGAAGCATTTAGTCCAAATATATGACTGTTCGCCTTTAGTTGCGCTATCATATGAGGTTTTAATTTTTCTGGACCCACGACCGGGCCATAAGGCTGTTTCCGCCAAACCGACATATATTGTCGAATAGTCCGGCGATGTGCGGTTACGTAAACACTAAACAAGCTGCCGGAATACCAATCCGAATGTTACGGTCCAACGGTTTTCGAACGGAGTCGGAAACTTGGAGGACCGACAATTCCGGTCTATTTGCCAGCGCTTGACACATACATCCGAGCTTGCCTGTCCTTTTGAAGCGTGAACACCGAATCACGCTAGTCCGCCTTACCATCCATTAAGCAAACCTCACGGCAATAATTCCTGAAGTTGTGTATGGGATATTATGTTCCGTAACTTCAAAAACCATCTTTTTCTATTTTGATGGGTTTATTGCAAGCTTCTACGCTGAGTATCTCGGTCGCAAGTTTCTCGCGAGTTTCTTACCGTAGTGCACGGCTCGGCCCGCATTCCTTTTGTGTGTATGTGTACCGGCAGCTCATTTGTTTGATGAAATAAGGGGACGGTATCGCAGAAGCAATAGCTTCTGTGACCGTTTGTCCAGAGACTATTTGGCACGAAGCTCAGTTGGCCATATGTTCACGTGCGAGTGATGTGGGCGGCATGAAGGTGTATTGCAGGGTTCACTTATTATTCGGGCAGACTAACAAACATAGTGTATGGGATGAATTTCTGTGGCTGAGAGGAAACAAAATGAATGTTTTCTTTGGTTGATTCCTGTTTCGAATTCGTCCACTGAGCTGCGTGTAAGTTTCATCTGTTTAGTTTTCCTTACCCGAGTTGCCAATTACGTCTCATTAGCTAGGCATGTTTAATGAAATAAAACGACATTTTTATTCACTATCCGAATACGTCTTGACAAATGTTCTCGTTACGTTCTGTCGTCCAATATTGTTTTACTTGTGCGTTTTATCTGTGCGACTGAGCTCAAGCTGTACAATAATAGTCGCAAGTCGTCAAGAGTAACAGTGCTACTATCAAGCAGAAATCAACCACTGTTCATAGTTTTGGTCACATTTCTGCCATGGATTTGGGTCAACACATGCAGAGGGTAGATAGAATAATCGTAGCAGACTGATTTATGTTTATTTTCTGAACCAAAATAGTGGATGTGGTGGTAAAAGTATGTTGATTTTCACCTGACAGTTATCATTTTGCCTTTGAGAAGCTCTCCAGTGAAAATACAGCTTTTCGCTCTGGCATTTTTAACTAACAATCTGACTACGGAAAGTCTAAAATCAAAACACAGTGTAGCGGAATTAGATGTTAGAATCCGACGTTTCGGTTGCTGGATTCTCAAGAATTCCTGTGATCAACTTGTTGGAGTTGCCTGTAGAAATCCCTAAAAAAAGTTACCCACGTCAAACGAAACGTCTGATTATAACACGTTATTCCAGCACACTGTATTTTGTGTTAACATTGTCTATATTATACACCATATGACGCTCAGCCTGTTTAACAATACCCGAGCCATTCGGCCCGGAACTCCTCACAACCTAAATCTTCATATTCTTGCCAACCTCTTAGTTTTCAATTCTCCATATCGTTTATGTACTCCACGTTACTTATTTAAATATGTATGAACCTTTTAATCGTGTGTGTATTTTTCTGATATACTTGTGAGTGTTATAAGGTTCACCTCAGCAATACAAACTTTTACTAGGGACTTCGTTGTGTACACACGAGGGAGTCACCTTATCCAAACACGAACTAGCGTCTTCATTCGTTTTGGAACCCTGAGAAGCGAGCCTAATTGGTTGTTGGTCTGTTCGCCGAGCTTGGCAGGTGGGGTGCAGACGTTTTACCCTCAATCGAAGTGACGCCGTCGGTGCGGGATTGAATGGGTAAATTCCCCCTCTTCTTCCAGAGCTTATCTAGTTTCTAATCAGCATCTTATAACTCTGAAGTGGTCAAATGGTTGCGTGGTGGTTCTAGCGTAACTTGGTCAGTCAACTTACAATCTGGGTTGCGTTGTGGCCTCATCTTGTATCTGGTTGGTGTGTTGGGCGCCTTCAGTTTGATGGTTCTGTTCCCTTTTTGTGTCTGGGCCGTTTTCTTTTTTTGTGTGACCTGATCTCATTCCGCTTGATTGGTTGATCGAATAACTATCTCTAGTAGTTCTCTTTCTTTGATTCGATCGGTATCGATTCAGTGTATCGGCCGAATAAAAGAAGTTTATTATTGTGGGACTCTGAACCACATGGGAAATCAAACGACCTAACGATAACCAACGGACCCATCGGATCAATGAAAGAAAGCTACTGAAATAGGTTTTCCAATCAACCGAACAAGTGAAATGAAATCTGACCACAAATTAAGTAGGAAACGGCCCGTTCGCAACGAAGGAACAGAACCGTCGAATCGAAGGCGCCCAAAGAACCAACCAGATACACGGAGATCAGATTAAAATGCAACTCCGATTCCAGACTGACCAACTAAATTACGCGCGAACCACCTCACAACCAACTAATCACTTCGAAGTTATTAGAGACTGTTTAGAAACCATAAACATAAGCAGAAGTGGTGGGATTCGCCCACTCAACCCCGCATTGACGATTTCCCCTCAATCGATGATGAAATGTTTATAATCCAACTTCCAGGCTTGACAAACAGACCAACAACTTAGCAGCCCGCCCGAGCTACCTATATTCCGCAACACTGCCAAAGGGGTCTAATGTCACATCGCCTTGTTATCCGATGCACTAGAAAATTCTAACTCTCTAAAATGTCTAACTAAGTTCCCCATTGCTAAGGCCGCACAGTAATTCTGCCCAACAGCTCGAATACGACTGCTGCGTGTGAACGCCAACTTAGTTGAACTTCCACTCTTGCAATGTATGTAAGCATTCGGGTTGCGAAAGTCAAACGCGAGTTGGTTTGATTTCCCGGTGACAAGATTTGTCACAATTTAGGTCTGGCTACTTAATGTGGTCAAGTACGTTTAGTGAATGCACCATAGTGGTTTGACAGAAATGGTTAATTTAACTTAAAGGCTCCTTAACGTGAGCAAGACATCGGCATCCAATTGAACGGGTAGAAATTTGGGAATACAACTGGGATGCCTGCTTTCCTGATAAAGATGTGGTGGTGTGACACACTTGAAAAATTCCTCCTGATAAAGATGTGGTGGTGTGACACACATCAATTGCACACATCAATTGGAAACATTCTACGGAACGCATCAGTTGCATAACTTTGGAATCTGGCACTACTTAAGCTATTTACATTCGCCTATTTAGATGAGATTCTGAGTCTTTGCTGATGACCTAGGCAAGCCTAACTTCTTCCTGACTATTTGGGCTTCCAATATCTCTGTGAATTTCGTCACTCGGCGGGTCCCACTGATCTGTGTGTTTGCACACAGTATCAGCGTTTCTGTTGCGAAGGCTCACTTCATTTCCTCACCCTGATCACTTCATTTTAAGCCTGCCGTCAAAGATATACTTCGACGAAGACCACTAGTCCAATTTACGGAAATCTTCAACAAGCCATAAAGAGGATGTCATTCACGATATTGAAGAATATGACCTTATTACGAACTCTTCTATTGGTACTGCCTGATTTCTTCAATTTATTGTCAACTCGCCATCGGTTATCTCAACATTCCTTTCACGGATGCTGCCTGATGAAACCATCCACATTATTGCTGACAGATTCCATCCTCCGGTCCTTAAGCAACCATGGATGGAGAGTGTGCTTACAAGAGGAGGAAGCAGACAGAATTTTCAAGACTTCTGCCCCAATATTTGTCGATGGGCGCCTCGGTAACAAAATCTGCCAATGAAACATGGTGAGCCCTGTAGCTTCTGTCCAATAAGTGATCAAATTTACATCCATCTAACCTTAGTCCCGATGTGTTCAACCGTTAGTTTTTAAATCTAGCAAGCCCAGCATCTGCACTAATCATTACAAACGGGTCTTTCGTCACAGATAGAATAGCATCTGGAAAAATGTATCAGAACATGCAGCAAGTGAGGTAAGGTGAAGCATATGGCCCTGTGTTTTTCTGCCCTTGCGAAGTGAAGTGTGCTGGTATCACTAGCAAAACAATATCCAAAGAATATCGCGAACGGAAGATTCAGCTGGGGTTCATTTAATCTCCGGTTAAGACCAAATTAATTTGCAAATGATAGTCTTTCGCGGGAAAAAACGAGGGACTCTAGCAACTTTCTGCCGTCAACACCGACTTGCTTTGCGAATGAATGCTTATACGATGTATAGTTTCATGTGCATGTGGGAATTCGGATTGATGGGAATTCGGGGGCTAAGCTGACCTGATGAGCGCGAAATCGGTGGTGGGCTTTCGGAGTAGCATTGAAGCAATGTCCGTTCTTTTCTTGTGTTGTTATGTGAAGAAGTGCAGTTAGGTGACACGGTGTGAAAACCCCTAGCAATGGTTGACTGAAGCACGCATAAAGCTAGCTATGATACGTTTCAAAGGCAATAATTTAAAAGTGTAGGTTATCCATCGCGAAATAGTCCTAGTAGGTTTTTAGCAAGAAGATCACATGAAGTACGATATTGAGTATTGGTCAGAGCTCCTACAGATGTTGGTGAATAGGTCGCCTCACTAACCGTGCACAATGCAATAGTTTGAGGAACGGATTCTCTTCTTCCTTGCCGACAAATAGCAATGTCCTCCACTACGCCATTTGTCCTCTTTTTCGTGTGTAAGAGATATGTTCATCAGTAATTTCTCCATCGGGTTCGTTGTCAACACATTGATTGACTGTGACGGTCGTGAGTCTGGAGTCCATCTGCAATTACAGGCTGTTAGTCTGATTAGTGCTTTTCCTTCCTTAGTCTGTCCTCTTTCTAACCTTTTAGCTTTAGACTGACCTCCTCAAAACGTTTAATCTCTCAGTGTTCTTAGTGCCTTCTTCCCTTTGCTGTCATCGTTAAGTGCTTAGGTGTGACCCTGTCAGATAACCTTAGTTGCCTCTCATATCCAAGCTGTCTTTGGTGGAATTCTTTTGTTTTTTGTGCGGTACGACGGAGAACGTTGTCCGTTCCTCTCAATCTTATTTTTGTCCTCACTTGACTTGTCATCACACGGACCTCTCCTAGTACTCCAAGACATACTGCTGCCTTGTCATTTTGGTCACTGGAACACTTCTCTGGATGTAATGAAGTGTCGAAGAATTCCTTGACAAACAAGTACCTTGACATTCGTCCCAACTTTACTCAGTGGATTCTTTCCGATATCTGTCGCCTATCTACGTCCATCACGTTCTAGGTACCAAGTGTTACCCACCAGTACTTTCGCTTGCCGTAATTCGGCGATGCTTTGCTTGGTTAGTTTTAATAGTCGAATATACCAGTTTGCGCAATCACCTCCCGTCTCACATGCTGGTAAATATTTTAAACGTTTCCTGTTTTGGAATTATTGTATCACTTTCTGATATTATTCCAAACTGTGTCGGAAGTTCACCTCATTTTGCGTAAGACTTTATCTAACCTAACATGACTAGTTAGTTCCTTAGGGCGCGCTTTTGGGATGTTGTACGATAATAATGGCTTATTGTTGAGGGGATTTGTATGCTCTCTCAGTTTACTTTATTTTTATTTGTTCATCAAAGGGTGAACACTCAGTCTTTGTATCTCTTTGTTTCCCTTTCTTGGATTTGAACCTGCTTTAGGGCTGGATTTGGTCTATCGAATCCTTCGGCTACTCTGTGCTCACTGGGTCGTGGGACAAGACGCTGCGCCTCTGGAATCTTTCTGATACTGGCCTTGTTCCTCATTCCGTATACCAGTAAGTGAGGTGATTATTTTCCGCAAGACATGTTCGCGGTTTTCTCCATCCGTTTTACTATTAAACACAAGGGAACTTCTATGATAAACTACCGGGGCTCATGTGCGGTTTCTTCTACTGAAACCCGAGTTTCCGGGTATTTGAATCTGCCGAAGATGTGGACGTAGACGAATTCAGTAGTCCTGGTGTTCACATTTGTAGACTACTACAATGACTGTAGTCGTCACTTTTTCCTAAGCATCGATTGGCAGAATGGATAGCCATTGGTGGTGTGAGTTATTTTTTATGCTTGAAGATCACCTTATATGATATACGATATAAGATAATTAAGGCTCCCTAACGAAGCATTCAGCTTAAAAGATCAATCATAGTCACAGTCGGTTTAGGTTTTCCAAATCAACCTCATCTTTGTCCGCTATTCAATTTTAATGGCACGTGTCTTACCAGTACCATCGCAGATTGTGAGGTCTACCTTGATGGTAGTCACTTTTCCACCCTCATTGCGCCGTTCCTAGTGGGGTTTTGAGTAACCGCTTAGGTATACCGCTTCGTACACTGGTGTCTCCTCCCGCTGTCTATCTATGCGATTCAACTTTTGAGAAAGAAATCTTAGTAGTTGCTAGAAAACCTTCACCTGGAAGATCAGGAGACCGTGGTTGTCGGTTCTCTTTCCACCAATCAACTTGACAGAAGAGATTTTGCGAACAAGTACGTGGGCATCCTCGGTATAGTTCAGTAGGTTGTTAAAGTTCAAAAACAGCCACAGTAAGGTACCGGATTTTCGCTACGGAGGTAGTCACTTTTAATTACTGGTTTAATTTGAATAACTTTGACTGCTGTGCGTGTTCCTTTGAAACCTAAACCCTTGCGGGTATTTATGTTGCTTTTGTTTAGCCTTCCAGGTCCGGTCTTCTCTACCGCCTTCTTTGACCCTTCTACCGTCTCAGTAGCATCCAATGCATTTGTATACACAGTTGATCTTCGAGCTCCTTCAGTTAATCAATCTGGTCCGCGCCTTAAACACAAAGGCACAGTTTTGTGTTTGCAATCTCCTGGTAAATGGCATTCATCGACGGACTCAGCTAAACCGTCCTGGATGGACTGGGGGGCTGGAGGGGATCAGCTTTCATCTGTTGCCACGTCAGTTTCCGACTTATCCTCCATTACCGCTAGTCAGGAAAATTTGCCGACGTTAATAAATGGATTTTCCGAAAACGAATTCCTACTAGCTTTTGCTCAACTATCTCCCGACGAGCAAGAACAGGAACAACGAGGAAAGGATGAGGCTTGCACTGACCAGTCCGTGCCAATTGGCCCTTCAATAGCGTCTGACGAACCGACCGAAATGGGTTGTCACCTGTCATCCAATGCATTCAACCTCGTCACTGGGAGCTATGATCGGAGTCTTAATGGATGGGATATGAGATATCCATCCAAACCTGTTAAAACGTTTGAAGTGGGTTACTTGAAAATTCAACCGGTTCTATCGTACGGATTTGATTAGCAGTGTGCGTAATAAATTTTTACGAACTTTTTGTTTACAGGGTCGTTTCATTTTTCATATCCAATCTACTGCAACCCCTCTAGAAAGTCACCTTTATTACATTTAAGACTGCTTCCATATGTTTTTTCTGCTTTTTTGTCTATCGACTTTTGTGAAATATTACAGTCTGAGTCGGTCTCGTAAAGGTATAAGGGCTAAAGAGCACTCTGGCAATATGTGTGGTCTTTTTTACATGAGAAAGATCTGCTGCGATTCCACTGTGCCATACTGAGGATGATTCATCTACAGTCACGGGATCGCAGGAGATCCAGTCCAGCTCGAATGTTTCGTTTCACTGCAGTTGAGCACAGGTATCCGACAGTTGCCTTTACCACACTCACTTGGTCGATACTGTGAGCTTACAGTTTTGTCTTGTCCAAAGCTGCTGTCGTGCAAGTAATCTAAGCCTTAGACTAGAATTTTTCGGCCTTTAACCCTCTATCGTCCATTTATCGATTTTCCACTTTGCGAGTCCTTACTGCCTACTTTTCCAAGGAATGCTGTTTCCATTGTAAGAATGAGTATGGTAGAATATGGAATATGTGCAGCAATCACACGTAGACGCTTAGAATGGCAGTTGTAATATTGGCCCCGTGTTTTTTTCACGGACTAAGGTTATATCTGTTTTGGCAATCATACGAGAATGTGAGGGTGCAAAGCATAACTTCAACTCAGGTGATTAATCATCTGAGTTGAAGACGAATTTTCTATACTTTCGAACGTTGTGACAATGGATGATCAGCACATCATTAATTCAACTGAAATAGTTGTAGTTGGTTGCAGAATTTGCAAAAGTCGAGTTCACATCATTCTCGTTTGAACAGACCTCTTCCTGTTCCGGCGCAATTATTCTGGTAAATCGACATCAACGAGCAGAAGCACTAGACTCAAGTTTTGCTTTTATTTTCCCTGGCGGTGCCAACGTTCTAACCCCGGACATCTGACATGCGAGGTGGGCGTAGTACTACTACTCCACCGGTGCACGCACCTGAATTCTCACGTCCGACTAGGCGAATGTGTTCACGCATGAGCTATGTAATAGGTTTGCCCGATGCGCCGAACGACTTCCTGGTGTAACTGTTTTAGTTGTGTCGATCGATGGACCTATCTGTCATCACTTCCCAGTCAGGTAGCGCCACGTACCCTTGAAACACCATGGACACTTTTTGACTAGTTGTAGGTGGTTGCGCGAGACAAAGTGCTTTTCGTAGGAAAATCTTGGCAAAATTCACTGCTGGGTTCCAGTGAGTCTCTCGAAAAACCAAATTAGTTTGCAAATGAGTGTATATTCGCTAAAAATCACTGCTGTCTGTTCGCCCGCAAACGACTTGAAATGTCTACTGTACGTTAGCTGAAAGATTCAGACTGTATGTTTATGCAGGTAACTTCTGTTTTACTTTGTTGTGAAATGCATCTCTAGATGTTATTTTCCGTAATTATCAAACCGTTCAATCCTCCTAACTGGTCTTGTTTTCCCTCCAGTTCTGGGTACCATGAAGTTTATTCAGAACAAATCAGCCTACTAGACATTTCAGATTAATAACCATTCTGCTGTAACAACCTTTTGATGCATAGCTGCCATGCCACCTCAAGCAAGCACGGGGGCTGGCATACTGCCAGGTTGTCCAAGCCTAGACAAGAGCAGTCAAGATGCATAGGTTGGATTCGAACCGCGGACCTTCCGGTCAGGAAGTTCGCGCCTTAACCACTTAAGTATTTCGAGCTCTCAAACGTTTCGGATTAGTTGTGTTTTATACCGTCATATTAATCAGATGGTCGGATCTCTAAAAAGCTCAACCAGATGAGGCCTTTCCTCTTCGTTGGAATCAGTCGGAGCTGTCAGAGTTTCATCGCATTTTTAATGTGACCACTCAATTAAATTCAAAGCCCATCTCTTGGTGTTTTCCAGGACCCCTGACTTGCATACTAAACACTCTGCCTAGTCATCAATAGTTGGGTTATTCTGACTAGTCAGTATCCCGTTACAACAAAATCCACCTCTTAGAGTTTCGGGCTTTTCCCTCGTCAATGGGAGTCCCGAAAAAATGGGGGCATGACTAGGTCGTCAGTGTTCCATTGTCGTGTGCGTTTTGGTGGTACCTGAACCATGCACTACCTTTTTCGTAATATCGTTAAAAATACTTTTTTTTCTCTCATCTGCTATTGTATAATTTCCAGGACCCCTGACTTGCATACTAAACACTCTGCCTAGTCATCAATAGTTGGGTTATTCTGACTAGTCAGTATCCCGTTACAACAAAATCCACCTCTTAGAGTTTCGGGCTTTTCCCTCGTCAATGGGAGTCCCGAAAAAATGGGGGCATGACTAGGTCGTCAGTGTTCCATTGTCGTGTGCGTTTTGGTGGTACCTGAACCATGCACTACCTTTTTCGTAATATCGTTAAAAATACTTTTTTTCTCTCATCTGCTTATTGTATAACTTGGTGTAGAAGTTTCTAGTGTGAATGAGACCTCAGTGCTCATACAATTCAGCCTTCAAGTAGTTGTAGCACTGAAGTGATAAAAGGGTGGCCCTGCTATGCTGCCAGATACCGCGAACTGCATGAAGCATGCTTTTGAGCACTTGTGATCAGTGTTCATATTACACTGATTCACGCGAGTTGGTCACATTGATGAGTCCTCGGCCAATAGATTTCAAATGCGACAAAGCGTTTCGTACTCCTGGTTAGGATTGGAAAGTGCTGGATACTCCGCACTTGTCTATAATTCGTGTAATATCTTCCATATTTCAAAGACGTTGAGTTATCTGTCTCTTCTAAAAATGTGGTTAACCAAAATTCCACTGCCCGGGCTGTAGAGTGCTCTCTCTATGCCCTAAGTTTTTCTCAAAGCCCCAACAGACTAACCCTGACGTACTTATAGTGGTCACTCCAGAGGGTGGGGTAACTGTTGGGTTTTCTGTCCAACTAATCGGTAGCCCGACAGGGTTTACATCTCGGATGTGACTATATTTCCTAACTTGGCCAGCCTGAAATTTCATTCTTGAGGTCCAGATATATTGTGTCTCCGATGCGCTTCACGTTAACTCACCTTCTTCATACTGCGAGTTCTGCTTCATACACATTCTCTCTCCGCATACCACCGCAGTTGTCCGGTTATCCCAGGAGAATGTCGCTTATGGATGACAGCGAGCTTTGGGTAGCCCAACCACCCAACTTGCTGCTTGTGTTCGATATCCGACAAGGCTTATTCAATTGTGTCCATGTGAGTATCCTTCTTCGTTGCTGCTGTACCTTACTGTGTTCGGCTAATCTGTACTTAACGCCACCCATTGGTGGCTACTGGCCCGACCTTGGAATCACATTGTGAACTTTTCTCCGGAAATCAGGAAAACAAAGTTTGTGCGCTATTAACTGGCGGCGAAGTGCTCTCACTAAGAGAAGAACGAACAGATCCAGAGTTATCGTGGTTTCATAACATTTCCGGCTCACTGGTAAAGCATATTTTTGAATCCAGTTCAGAGACTTACACAAAGTTGTGCTCATCTGGATTGTTCACCTCTCTTACTCGCGGCGGCTGTATTACTTGGCAGTTGATATCCCTGTAGGAAGCACTTTTCAGGTTCTTCATCCCATATTCCGCCAGCCAAACTCCGCTCCCAACCGGATCCCTTTGTTTGCAGTGTCGTTGACAGTCGATTGCATTGCTCTTACTTCGTTCCTGGTCGATTGGTGGTCCCAACTTCTATCCTCGTGTCTGATTGCTTTGTCATCGAAACTTAGCTGCCCTTTGAACTCTCATAATCTATCTTCATTTTGAGCTTCAATTGGCTTCTCCTTAACACCCCACGAAGCAATGATTACAGTTGAATCCACGTATATATTGTGGCCTGATGATTATCTTTACTTCATTCCATGTAAACTGGTACTCAGGACACTTTGTGTGACGTCTTTCGGCTACCACGGTTCTCCCGTCTTCTCTGTGGGCTTATGACAGATGATTGTAAATATGCTGCTCGTCAACATTTGCTCGGAGGCCATGTTATTCTCACCAAGAGCCAATTGTCATCAGTCATTCACAGAAAAACGAGCACTTCATCAAGTGAATGTTTCACTGGCCTTCCCAGATTGCATTAGTGCTACTGTAACCCTAGGTGCATAGACCGCCATTGTTCTAACTAGTGACGTACGAATTCAATGGTAGTATCGGCTAAAGACTGACACAAACGCGTGTCAATCACACTATTTCACGGAAACGTGGGTGTTTGAAACCCCTGTGACCAACCGTACAAACGTTGCTGCTCCAGTTACGACCAAGGGACACGAGAATTGCATGGCTCCCATATACTCTTGACAGTGCGATCCGATTCGGCGAGCGCCGATAACGACCACCAGCTCGGCAAGTACCACTAATTCATTTCCGGATGAGAATTGGCCGCATGGTCGCCCATATTTCCATAAGGATACTGCGTAAGGACAGTGTATTTGATTCGCTTTATTTTTTATCACAAGTGTGGAGAGCTTCTAGGCTGCAAACCGATAGAATGACAACATGAGGCTTAGAAAAATGTAATGTGCTGGTCATTTCCAACCGCATGGACGTTGTGGTGTTAAGTTATATGTATATTGCTCTTATGAGTTCATCGGTCGACTGTCGCATTCACTTTACTTTGGGTTTAAACGTATAACTAGCTTCTTATTGACGGCTCAACATTGCCTTACTGTACTTAGTGTACGGCATTACACTCTAGCCAAGAGTGGTATCTCTTTCAGGCCACATGCCTCATACTGTTGGACAAGTGTTAGCCATATGCTAGTGAGTACGCATTTCAGTGATGAGAAAATTGCTCTTTTACCAAATGAACAAGACATCCAACTCGTTCTCGATGGTTTTCCTCCGATCTTTCTGGAAACCGGACGTCCCAAGCCCATCCACTTCTGGAATGGTAATCGATGCAGATTCAGCATTCTGTAGGTGTCTGCGGTTAGAATACTGCTCAGTTATTTGTTTCCTTTGGCTAGGCTGAGCGCCTCTTTCGGAGCCTATTTATTGGGCTGGCTGACCACCCTCAACACTGTTGGTGTAAATTCATTCGAAAAATTCAACGGGTCCGACTTTTGCCTACAATGTGACATTGAGTTTTGATCAGAAAAGAGCCACAATCAATGCATTTCTGCGAAAATATACCTCTCAGCGAAGACCATCGGTATGGACTATCTTCGCATCATGAGAAGCTATGGAAATATTTACAGACTTCTATCATTGTGGAGCTTCTGTCCACTAAACTACCTACTCCTTCTGGCAGCGTATTGTGATCCATATTTAAAAACCTGTGAAATATTTCCAGGTTGTTGTGTCAATGCGAATCGCACATTCATTTCTACCGGATGCTGTGTACAAAGGTACTGGGGAACTAGGTAGTTATCTCTTATGCTCCTTCGTAAATAGTGCTTTCATGTGTGGCGAGTACAACAACCATTTTCTGGATGTTTTGCTTCGTTACACGCACGTTCATCAGGATTATTGCTGTCGCAAATTATTTGACCTTTTCGTTCATGCGTTAATTTGCTTTCTGTACCAACAGACGCAAAAACTTCCTGGATGGACTCGTGGTTTTGGTGCTCTTGTGGCCACACGAGGTGGTATTTTCGTATCGGGTCTACACGGCACCGTGGAAGTTTTGCATCCTACCTGTCCACCAGCCAGCATGGGTGGCGCACCGTTAGCCGAATCTTTATCAAACGCCCCTAATACCGTACGTTCGCGTCGTATCTTCGGTTGAACATTTCCGAATATAACGTGGGTTTTTAACTCTGTTCTGTCGCGAATCCAAACGATTTCCTTCTAGTTTCCATCCAGACTGTCGGCCCTTGACAGAAACACAAACTGTAAATATGAAACTCTTCAGCAATATCCAAATGTATATCTCTACCAAAACCTTATTGTGCTGCTGGCGCCAATGATCTCCATCCTCTTCTGCTGAAAGATGGCGGTGAATTATTCAGTCAGTGCCTGACTAACTTATTTACGTTAGTCCAGAAGAATTAGACCGTCCCATTAAACGGGTTGCTTGATAATATTACGTCTCAAAAAATTTACTTACAGTGAATATAGTAACCTCAGAGTTGTCTGTTTGACTCCCGTTATGACAAGATTTATGACCGATTTTCCATCACCGCAAGGCGGCATGCAAACCCTTAACACGTGAATATTAAGGAGGACTTCGACCCGGCATCGGTAACATCTTCACATTCTGTCAGTTTTTACAGCACCGCACTGGTTTGTGGAGAATCTAGCTCTGATAAAAGTGTATCTGATGAAGTCTGTACAAGACTCCCAAAGGCCCAAATCACGTTTTCCAATTTGCATCAATTGTGGCGTTGAAAAAGCGCATCACTGTGTCTCAAGCGTAGTTTGTGACGGGCTACAGTAAGGGTTGTATTGTTGTATGATTGCGAGACATGGCCTCTATGGACAGGTGATGTGAAGCGGCTTCAGGTTTTCGAGCACTGTGTTCTCCAAGCCGTTCCTGTTGTCCGATGGTGTCAACAAATTCGTAACGAGGTGATCAGAAAAAGTGACATCACTTACTTCAGACCCAGAAAACACCCAGTAGTATCAAATGCAGCTGCTCAGCTATGTGCAGCACATACCAAAACATTGTTACCCGAGAGTAGTGTCCTTTTCTGTGCCTCCTTTAGAATGGTGCAAATTACGAGGGTGTGGCAGAAGGGCGTGAAAAGATTATGAAGGGTTTGGATATTATTGGTGCGATCCGCCTTCCAGGATGGGGTCTCGGTGACCCCCATCGCTTGGCTAGAAACACTGCAAGACGTGACAACTGATCGATGTTAGTGGCCTTCTTGCTGTCAGTTTCCAGATTTTCTGAGTGCTTGAGACCGTAAGCGCCTCAGGATGCTGGCAATAGGTCAGCACCAAGTTCTCTCTGTCACATTCCTCTTCCCATCCCATATAATTTGGTAGAATTTGTGGTTGTACGTGCTTCATCGGATGCTGGCAATAGGTCAGCACCAAGTTCTCTCTGTCACCCTTTCTCTTTCCATCCAATATAATCTGGTAGAATTTGTGGTTGTACGTGCTTCATCTTATTATACGGGTCAGAAACCTGGCCACTGTGCTCTTAGGACGTCAATAGATTTTCAGTGTTTCACTGTCGATATCTTCATGAGTCTGGTGGGAATACCGTATCATTTATGCTGTAGTACGTCGAATTGTTATGGGGAGAACTAACTCGTTCACGGTAGATGAACTGATCATCCTCCATAGGTTGCACTGGCTGGGTCACATGCTCTGTATGCTAGTCGACAGATTTCCTTTTCGTGCAACCAAGTGAAGTGCGGAAACAAGCCAGGGGAGGTCAAGCAATGACTTGGTAACTATGTACTAAAGAAATTACTCAGCTGCGTTGGTCATTGACGTCTCTCTGGATGGGGACACGTCGCTGGTTATAGGCGTTGTCTGATATGGGCCAGTCGCGCCCTCAAGCTATTGCCTTCAATGCGTATCTCCCCTCACAATTTTCCCAATGAAAAGTCTAATCAAAACCCTGTATTTATGCATCAATTATGTCAGCTACCGCCTACAATGCGCACCTATCTACCCAACTTCCCTAAACCATCGGTGAACAAAACTATGCTATCTATAGCCACTACGTCAAGTGGGCGGTTTTCACAGCTGCAGATGATGATGGCGATGATGATGGTAGTGTGGTTGTACGTTAGTGAATCATCAGTGTCGACTGATGTCCCGTCTTTGATGATGTGAGTATTTCCTTCATGAAAATATGCGATATATCGAATAACATACCAACTGAAACATGAAGTGGCCTTTGTGCAACACACTGGGCTGAAGAGTACCATAATCGAGAGATTCGGCTAGGATTCAGTTGAGTCTTACGTGAAAACTAAAGTGGTGTGCCAGAAAAAGCATTTCATAAATAGTTGAATACACTCTGTGCTTGTACGGCAGTGAGGCGTCAACACGACGACTAATATTACTGATTTTGATGGGGATCCTGATGACGTGAATAAACATTTCCACATAAAGTCCATGGCTAGTGATCTTGACACCATGTTTTACAGGCGTGGTTTCCGTCACTTCAGCCAAAAGATACTGAACCTGATTAGCTTATACAGTTTTCCGGGAGTCGCAGAACGGAGGGAGAATCTAGTAATTTCCTCGCTTAAACGTATGACCATCCTGGTTTTCGATTTCCACTTGACCGGAGGGTCAGTGATTCGAACCCGACTTCTGCATCTCGACTTTTCCTGTCTAGGCTCGGGCAGTATCCCAGCCCTCGTGCTGCGTTCGGGTGGCATGGCAGCTAGACACCGAAAGGTTGTTACAGCTGAACGATTATTATCTACTATATGTCGCTTAACCAAATAACGAGTGGCTTTCATTCGGCTCTAATAAAGACTATCAGAATTTCGTTAATGAAGCACATCCATAATTCTTTGTCTTATCTGGTTATGTACGTCCCAAACGTTGACAGCTCGCTGCAGTGCAACAATTAATTGAGCATTTGACATTCCGTAAGCAGGACTTCAAAACCAAATTGTGCGTCACAAACCCTATTTGAATCTCAACGTTTTGCTCATAGACCCCTGCAGTAGGTACAGACGGAATACTCAAGCGACTTAAAAAGCCATCCAGACAAGCCAAGCACCAGACTAGGCGCGTCTCAGTCAATCGAGTTTGGAACGCAGTGTGTTTATTAGATGCTAGTTTAACGGTTGGACTGGTTAGAAGAGAACATTGTGTGTTCGGGTGGTTTGTTAATCTGTTGGTGGATGATCATTTCGTTGGTACATGATCCAGAAATATACGTGGAATGAATATAAATTGGGCTACGATGGGCATGCAAAAGCAGACGGGCGTCTAAGCCACGTACCGTAAATCAAGTTACGATATGTACGGGAACACGCCAGGTAGATGCAGCTCAACAAAATAGTTAACCCGATCCCGTCAACTCAACCGCTCCTGTCTAGGCTTGACCAACCCGGCGGTATCTCAGTCCTCGTGCTTCCCTCAGGTTCCATGGCAGCTAGGCATCGAAATGGTATCAGCTGAGTTACTGCCTTGTTTATACAATTGGACCCCTTGCATAATATCCGGTAAGGTCCTTCGGGCGAGTGGCCGCTCGTGAAAAATGCATAACAGTGCTTCTGACGAGGCCCTTTGTCTAAAGGGAAGCCGCCAAACCTGTGTTGTGTAGTTCGGACGTGATTTCTCTTTCAGAGTGATACTGCCTCCATGTACACCATCTACCTCAAAACAGTGTCGATTTGTCTTTTCTCGTCATCGCCGTTCACATCATGATTACTAACAGCAATAAACCGTTGTTAAGTAGGTTCGGGATCGGTGGTCTTGAGTAAGTTAACGGGCCTCATCTAAGAAGGTGAATAAGTCTCTATTAGGAATGAAGAAAATAAGGGAGACTTATTTGCTTACTTTGCCTTATAGCAAGCTTCCTCCTAAAGATAAAATGAATGGACTCGAATAATGTCTCCAAACGGAAACAGCAGTTAGAGAATAGAATTAAAGGCAGTATTAGCCTTTTTTAAATGTCTGGTTCTGTAAACAACAGAGACCCAGTCGTTCAATAATTGAGGGCAAACGATACCATACTTGGTGCCACCTGAAGAGCCGGGCTGAAAGTGGTCTCATCTCGGAGGAGTTTATCAGCAATATGAAACAATCCGAATTTCTGTCTCCCCAGAACGAATAACTTTGTTGTGAAGTGGCTTGTTGGTTCGGAAATCGTTCGGACATATGTATAGGCTTAACTTGTCTGGCACTGTACATTTTCAACAAGGCATGGTTTTTTCTTCAGCTGTTAGTTCGAAACGTACATACTTTCGGTGCTCGTTTGAGGTTGCATGCAGTCGTGCAATTTTATGATGATCCCAATTTTATAAAAGCGGTAGACATGTGAAAATAGCTGGTGGCACGTAAAATTGCGGCAGCGATGTCAGGAAGCACGTTGCTTTTACTGTTGTGATTACGAATCACATTTCGGTCGGCTCCGTGGTGGACTCCTTGTTTGGACATAACAGCATTAATTGAGTGCCATCCATCATTTTGGCTAGTTTACTTCGGTTTCATCCTAATTAGCAACTTTTCACGTCTTTGCACTCCCCCCCCCCCTACTCAACTGTTTGCTCTCCGTTTTAGCTTGCTGTGCACGATGATCTCTTGGCCGTTGGCTGTGAAGATGGAACCGTACATGTGTGGGCCGGACAGAACGCGTTTAGTTCGATTTCCTGTTGAACATTGCACGAGACTGGTATATACGCCACTCCATAGACCAAATTCGTTTACAATCTGTTTTTTTCTTGAAATGTTACTTTTCGTTTTGGCCATTATTACACAATTTTTAATGATTTTGAGCTGCGTTTCCATAGCATTGTTGGCCGAGTTTTAGTGTACCCGTACTATAATCCGAACAATTGCGCCTTGCGGTACCACCGTACCTGCTACATACCCTACGTGTAAAGGTTATTCTATTACATATTGGCAGCTAGCGAAGGTAGACGAATGTTTGTAACTAGACACTCGTTGTTATAAAAGAAGCCATCAATTTGTAATACTAGGTTCAGGTAGCGGCAGGACGTGACCTCATATTGTGTATCTGCAGTTGGCATGCATGCGGTCGAGGGGTCGTCTCAAAAAATTCAGCACAGGTGGGCTGCTTTGGCTTCATGTCTTATGCGCAGCTCGTGTACAGAAAATCACTTTAGCTGAATTTCAGTGTCAGAACACTACGGCACTGATGCAAGCTCTTCAGATGATGGGCTTGAACGAAGCGCCCATCGGTGAAATTTTTCATTGAAGTCTTGGTCGCACTCAGCAGATTTTTTTTTCGTTTTCCATCACAGCTGTAGCTAGTCACATGAAGACTAACGCGGGTGTCAGGCCGAACGTAGGCGAGGATAGTGTGACAAACTTTGAACAATCCAGTGTGCTTTGAAGTAGGTTAGAGTGATCGAGAATGTAGCCCTATTGTGCACAGTTTCGATGACAAGATGCCCCTACACGAGCCAACATTTCATCCAGCTGGTCAAGCAATAGAAAGGTACTCTGCACGAACGTATGCATCTAATGTGTATGCCATTACGTGTGTGTTCTTTGGACGATTCGTGACCATCATTTACAGTCGTTCAGGGCAGAATTATGTGGCATTCGAAAAGTTTGCCTGATACTGATGCGGTCTGGTATCCTCTCTTCTGGCAGGAAACTCTGCAGTTCGCGGGTTTCGACCTTAGCCGGTGCCACCATCGCTCTCAGTCTCCATCCGTGTTGGAATTTTTTTCGAGTTCATCCGAGACTGGAATACGGCACGCCATTGATTGGACGCATTCGGGCTCTTTAACGTGAGGTTACTGTTGCCTTTCGGTGGAACCGGACTATTCGAAATAGCAGTTTACTCCTGTAATAGGAGTTTATATGGTGCTGATATTATGGACAATGTACTGAGAATTCACACTTTCCGACGCGTTCATGGCCACCTAGTGATGCGTTGTATTTACCGCACCCAATGCTGGAATACTACAGGGAACTAAGATGGCCTTGTCCCCAGGCTGTTTGTCATTAATCTTATCCAACAGCTTGTTGCTACTGAGAAGCCTGACAACACCCTCATCCCGGGTAGGGGTGTTACAGACGTATCGGAGGAAATGTCTGAAACTCGGTATGCATGGCCACTACAATCTTATACCCTGAGAGAACTTCAGGCTACGAATCTGATGCACAAATGAGGTCTTAGGATTTTAGCTATCGCCTAATACACACTATCCTAGTCTCAACAATTACCGCGCGGTGACTGCTGTGTTGTTGGCTGAGTGTGATTTCCAACTTCAGACCAGTGGTCTGTAATCAACCAGACTGCCTTCATAAGGTCTAATGCCTCGTTTTGGTGTGGCAAATATAAAGACCCTCAGGATTGGACCATTCCGCTGGGCCATTCCTTATCAGTGTCCCATAGGACATAGCTAAGATACAGATGTGCTCATTGCGAACGCATTTATATATATATATGCACATACCTTTCATGCATGGACCCTCGGTCCTGTGCAGTTTGCACTTCATAGTCGCGGCATTATTTCCCTCCGTGGGTTTACTGCTTACGTACATCTTAATTTATTTTTCCCTGGAGTACTACACTTCCGTGAAGTCACGTATTTCTCTAAAAGCTCTCGATCTGCGAACATTGCGCTACGTTGCCATTTGACTATTTCCGTTTTTTAGGAATACAAGAAACCATTTTTGCAAAACTGTTCACTGTTCTCTTGAAGTGGAGTCGCGATGTTTAGTCCACAGAGTCACCTATCCGTATTGAGTTTTCAGGTTTTCTTTGACGTTGCCGTGTAACTCCTATTCACTGTCGCGCAATTTTTGGCAGGACTCTTTTCATTTACTTCAACTAGGATTAGAGTGCACAAATAATGTTCTGGCTGATAAATGGTACAGAAGTTTTTTCAACAGGCTACACGTATCAGGAACTTTATCTATACACAGATTTGTAGTCTGGCAGTCTTTATTCGCAAGTAATAGTTTACCGCACTCCGAGTGTTCCTAAATGGTTCGTGGTTCACATAAGAGGGTATCATCACTACGTTCTGAAGTATTCTCGCTTAAATGAATTTTCCAAGGTAGGTGCGACGTATCTTTTCCATACGCGCCACCTTGTTATAGGAAACGACTGGGCGGAAGTGCCCCACCTCAAGATAACCGGTAGGGATATTTCCCGTGAAATGGAAGTAAAAAAGCAAAAGGCCCGCCAGATTTGGAAGCGGTGCTGTCCAATCGAGTATCGGGTGCTGTGCTGTGCTTGTGCTTGCACGAAAAGCACTTGAAAACCAGGACATTGCACTTCAATAACTCTTCGTTATAGTACGAATCGCGCTTAGGATCCTTCTCAATGGCCAACGGGCCGCAAAGTAAGCGAAAAATTGCGAGTGAAGAAAATATTGATAGCTCTGATTATAACGATGACCACTGAGCTGAAAAACTTGGTTTCAATCAGGTGATGACCACTGAGCTGAAAAACTTGGTTTCAGTCAGGTTGGAAGTATGCTTCCACTCTTAATACGCTGTTGATATTATCTCGTTTGGCGGTGAAACGTTTGCAACCAGACTGTCATGCTCAGTGAACAAACCGACGCCCAAGCTAAAATTGGTTGTGCGGTAAGAATAACTTTCCAAAGACGTGTATAAATTTTAGAAACGTAATTTCCCGCGCTCTAAAAAGGAGAATCGCCCGGATGCCGAAAAATTGCTGGTATACCTGCCGTTGTTACCTAGAGTCCATGAAACACATCGAGGAGGACCTCGGTATAGAACCAAAGAGATCCCGGGGTGAGTTCATAATAGGAGTGATTAAATGTGATACCGAAGACAATTTTCAATAATTTCGAGAGAATAGAGCTGGGTTTTTCAAAACAAGCCGCGTGACCTGATTTTTGCGCGTGATATAAGGCAAACAGAAATATACATGGGTGGTGCAAACCTTTCGAATGCTTGATTTCACTGACAAAGCTGTCGCATGGCAGAATAAAGGATTTTTTAATGAAAAGTTTGCTGCTTATCTGGAAGCTCATCTAAATCGGGTCAATCCACACTCCAACATGACAGTCAAGCTGAGCATGACGCGCGACGTTTTTTCTTAAAAGCTTTTGAGGACAGTTATCATGTGCGCAACTTTGGCCTAAGCAGTTTCGAAAGTATACTGTGACCAACGTCAGAAGCATGTTGCATTTCTGGAACGCCGTCCTACTGGCAAATGGATCTCATAAATGATTCCATCAACTTCAGTCCTCCGTTAACAAATGATGGATTGGACGAATATACTATTAACCATGTACCTATTTTCTCAATACGAGACGTTATAACTTGACTTATAACAGCTATTGGCTTTAAATGACTTGAAGCATAGATATCCCTCTATAGATCAGTGGGAGGAAATGCAATTTGACACTCACTGGACGAAGCAAAATGCCAAAGACAAACGGATTTATCTGTGCTCATTGGTTCAGGTGCCAGATATCCAGTGTGAAATGGGAACATCCGAGAGAAGCAGCGTCATCCGTAGGTGTCTTACTAATTGAACTTGCTTGGTCCAGTATTTTGCCCAGTTGCTTTTACATATGATTTTAGGCAAATAAACAGCCGTACTTGCAATCACTTACAACCGTTCCTTTTCCCCGGGTCATGCAAGGAAGTAAAAGAAGGCATTTACGCGTAAGGGTAAATGGTGGCGCCTCCAATATTGGTGACAAACGCGCAAATCCAAACAGAAGGCATCAGTGCAAATTCTATAAAAGCATGCTTCACACCCCAGAAGAGGCTTCTCAATTAGGGACAACTATTCATGTGGTCCATTGCGTAATTGCACCATTTTTTAAAACTGTTCTGAAACAAAACATCAGAGTAAACCAACTTTGAAATGGTTAAAATATGCAATTGCAGATAGCTGTTTCAGCCAAGTGGAACACTACCGTATTTGAATACGACTTGTTTCACGTCTTTTGGGCGAACTTGATCTGTTATGCTTATCCTTACCATCAGAGACAAAAATCCAGGGCTTTTGAAAACATTGAATTGTCCATAAGGAGCGAATTCTACTGAATAGGTGAGAAGGTGGAAGAGGCTCGGGGAGCCTAGTAGAAGCTCGTCAATGGGTATGATCTGTCTGAAGAAGGACGTGTCATGTATACAGGCTCTCTTGAGCCAAGTTATGCTGAACTGCATTCCTTAACTGCATGGAACCGTTATGTGTATAATGTTGCACAGATGATCCCCGTTCTTGTTTAAGCTTCAATGTTGCAACAATCACCGGCACCACAGCCATGGTTTTAGTTGTCGCACGTCGAAAATAGCACCCTCTAAAACGATTGAGCTTCATAATAAATAACTCACAGCTTGCTCGCAAACGGCGCACAGGGAGTCGACTTCTTCCGACAGTGGGCCACTATTCGTGCCGATCCTAAAACGCGCACCCAAAATTTCTTTGAAACAGTTTGAACAAAGAAAAGGTATACATAAAGTTTTAGCATCTGACGACTAATACACGGGAATTTCTAATTCCCCGAGACGTTACAGTTTATCCACACTTTATTTAGGCGCGGTTGACTTTTGGAATTAGGTCGTACTTAGTCCAGAATGATGGCCCCGTGAAAGCCGTGGTCGCTTTTATTAATAATCTGGTTTGCTCACGTGTTTTTTCTACAATGAAATTTCAAATATTGAAAATGAGTATATGGACAAGGATTACGGCATTCTGGGCGCGGAAACCCTAAATGGAGCAGCCATTCACTAATTGCTTAGGCAAAACAGTCCTTTCGTTGCAGCAGGGATCCCGTCAGAAAATACATTAAATAATTCAAAACTACATATAGAAACTTTTTTGCAGCAACGT